GTATTTCCAGTGTGACATATTCGTGCTTGAGACAGGTCTGCCAAGCGTGAATTGTGTAATTCGAAATGGGCCTAACGTAGGCACTGAGCATCCGTGAGAACACTGTGGGTTAAAGCCTGTTAGTTCTCTACGCAAAAGGCCAATATGTTAGTTGGCATTTTTCGGTTGCTTTCTCAGCCTGACGTGCATAGTAAATATTGTGCTATCACATTTATGTCCAATTCAGTAGAAGTGCTAAACGAATCTTGTCGGATTAGCTGCTACTGTTTTGTGCAGGAGTATTTTGAAGAGCGGCGTGCATCAGTTACTAACAGGACCCACGTCGGAACCACGTACATGCCGCCTGGCGGCTGTCAAGGTCTAAATGCTAGTCGCAAGTGATTCCAAACTGGCGTCCGTATTCCTCACTAAGGAGAAACTGCAGCATCCCTTTGCTGTAGCCGCTCACGTATATTTTGCTGCCATTATCGGTACTAACTTGCCCCGTAGACTTCATTGTCGGTTGGATACGAACTCAGATCGTATACGCACTCATTGTTACTAACCGGCCCTGGCACTGTTGTGTTCAAAACCCCACGCATACCTTGCGTTTTCAGACAACTGGGTCTGTCAAGATTACGTGAGCAGTCCCGTGGATAAATGGGTTGGTGCGCCCACTTAAATTATCCAAGGATCATCTTAAAGTAAAATCTTTTGGAGACATGTAAAGGTAGCACTTAGACGCCCTCGCATCGGATAAAGGGAACATTGTCAGCACCTAGTTTGTGCAGAATACCTGCGACTCTGAACCCACGACTGACAGTGTCCGGTACAGTAGACGACCAAGACTACGCTTATAAAGCTATCGTACTATCTTTCACCTACCCATGGGTATCACTTGCTTTTCTTGGACAAATAACGGATAATTAGATGAACATTTTAATTATTTGTTTTTTAATTAGATTGCGATGCGCAAGCTCAATATGGACCTCCATTTGCGCCATAGTGAACCTTTGTCTGATCAATCAATCGGACGGTATTTTATAGAACAGCGGGACATTGAGCTTTCTGCGCCTGAAAATACCGCATTGCACGACTTGTTCGAACCTTATTAGATGGTGTTTTCTAGTTTTGTTTGGAGTCTAGATGTCTCCATAAGCTAACTAGACGTAACCCTAGGCAAGATTGGCGACTCAACCTGCTTCAACACGTTTGATCTTACATTTGTTTCTTCTTTTACAATATATTTATTCAGTAAGAAAATTTGCTCGGTAGACGCTTAAGCAGATGACATGCATATGGTTTGATGTTGTAATGTTCATCTACGCGATCCGACTGGATTTGTTAAGCACCTGGTATTTACTCTTAATAAATCATTGCACACAAATCTGGTAAGCCTTTACAAGCATCTATAGTTACATACTTTTCTTGGGTTGGCTATATATTACTATCGATTTAGCAAAAGAATTTCCATCATTGCCACCTCACAAATGCATTGCTGCAATATGCTGGAACATTGTATGTTCAGCAAGCATTCGAGTGGCTCCGCGCGACCATTTCCGTGGTTCCAGTTCTAGTATAACTTAGATTTTCTCCCTCGGCCGCTAAATTCATTCTGGACACGGATTCGAGAGACTAAGAGATGGGAGCTGAGTTTACATATTATAGACCACATGCAATGAAAAGACCCGTAACCGGCAGTAGCAATAGTCTTAGCTCCAAAGAAAGAAATTGTTCCATTGTCCGCTTGAAAAGAGCGTTGTTGCACCGGTCCGTTATACAGCCCATGCGAGTTCTGCATAAGTTGAAAGACCCCGCTCGCTCGCAAGACAGGAGTAGGATAATTAGTTAGTAAGCAAATACTGGCCAAGTAGAAACACTATAGTATAAACGCATATTAACGGATTTTTCTTTTTGATCATTAGCATTGCCGTTGGTGCATAATGAAACCTGCAGCCATGGTTAAACTTTAGGGCGCGGTATATGAACTTCGGAAAATAGCATAAGCGTGTGATTCGAATGTTGCACCGATGCACGACACGTATCTTCACAGCGGAGACTGGTGTACGAGTACGGAAATATGTGGGAAAGTTCTGCAGCACCATGCCGTGTACCAGAAGGGAAATCTTATCTACTTGGGAGGTCTCACAATGATGTGTAGGTTGCAGCGACCTAGCCAAAAAGTTCCCCACTACAGATACCAGCATAACTTACAACTGTGCCAACCCATATAACTGCGTTGCCACTAGTTTAGGCTGGCCATGCAGTATCAAAAAGTACAATGTGGATGAAACGGCTTTTCCCTCTAATTGTCACATCCCTGGGGATACTTACCACAGCATGTAATTAATGCTCCGCCGTATGACAAAACAAAAAATGACTTTGCGGTACACTGACGTATTTACACTACGTAATATCAAATACCTGCACTAGTACAACACAAATAGTGGACGGTAGCGTAATGGTTTTAAACTGCAGACAGGAGCACTTACACTTGCGTCACTGTGAACCTCTTGGTAAGTCATGTGCCTTACACGCATTTTGCTCAACAGTGTGATTTTATCTTGCAATATGTGCCCTAACCATCTTACTAGACATGCCAAGCATCTGATATTAGACCAGTCACAAAGCATTGCCCCTTTGCTGTTCCACTGAGTTAGGTGCGTTGTGCCTTGCTAGCAGTCCGACCTATACCATACGAACCGTACTCCCACATTCGATTTTCAGAGAGATGCTAAGCAACCTTAACAAATTACTGGAGCATGCGGGGATAAAAACAATAGATGTAACATCGCAACGGCGCTTCTGATAGTCACGAAAACTGTAAGATATAATCATATTCTGTCTAACTTGAAAAAATGTGGCTCCTCTTAACGTCCTCGATTTACCAACCGTGCTCCATTGTGAATATAAAGACAGGGTATCGAAAGGCGATGGGGAGCTTTTGCTTGATGGGACCGTTTCCCTGGACAGCAACATTCATCTATCCTTGTAAGTCACTATGCATTAATTTATTAAGTCGTGCTACGCTGTGCCGATTGTACAGGGTAATACTTTTACGGAGGCAAAAGCGATTGTGAATAACTGAGGCCGTCGGCACAGACGCAGTCTGACAGGGACTCCTGTTGTGAGAGTGCATCGTTGAACAATGTGTACCGACCCTGAAATAAATAAGACTTGGACTAGAGTATACGGCAGCGGGCAAGTTAAACGAATGCGAATAAGTATGCTATCCCGTTTTCCTATCACAACTGGACAAACAGCATACATTGTGTGGACGGGAAGTGGGTCACGGTTTATATCTGATTGACAACTCCGTATAGCGCATCAGCTGCAACCAACACTGACGAAGTATATTAGGGTACTGCTAAAATACCTTCGACAACCGTATGGATACATTTAGTATCTGCACATCGGAGGCGATAGTAGTACTATCATTGGAACAGCTTCGACGCCCCTCCCATAGTTAGTGAACTTGCTTGACTACCTCAACTTTAAACCCAGTGAATGCAACGAAGTCCCAAGTTCATTGGGTAGGTCCCTGTATAATGAAGCAAATACTGTCCCCGTCTACATTTTTTAAAGATTTTCTATAGCCTCAATAATAAGCCCAATACCATACACTTTATTCATCCTAAACTATTTTGACAAGAGGCTGATCAGTTTGACTGCGAAGCGGCCAACCCAATTGCCGAAGTAGCTTCTGAACTAGAAGTGCCCGCAGAAAAGGTTTACAGATAGGCTATATTGACAATGGCTGTTTGGAATGGATGAAAGGTATGGAATGATATATATATATATATATATATACAGATATATATATATATACAGATATATATATATATATATATATATATACAGATATATATATATATAGATTGCTGGTATATGGGTACATTTCACTCCCTTTCCCGGGTCACGTACTTGGGATTTTACAAAAAAGCGCTAACCGTTTGAACAGACTATTTACATTAAGTTTCTTTCCGTCGCTTTCTTTCTGTATTTGTTCCCCTACGTAGGAAATATGTGCTGATACATTAACTTCCTTTTTCTGAATTGCAGCTAACACCGGAACTTATTTTAAATATATCCCCTTCAATCTTAGCTAAACCCTTGTTTCATTGTATGTTATGTTGCTCATCTATGTCATGTGACGGGATATCTACCATTAACCTTTTTATTTAAGTAATCTTAGGTATGTAGGTAAGAGCAGGTGCACATGCAGCTGATCACGCGCTATAGGACAAGCACTGTGAGATTACCAAGTTCAATACCAGTGTTGCAATACGTCCTTTTAAGTAACTCATATGAGACAGCATTGTCTGTGCTCCAGAAATACTGGCACTTGATGTGCCGAGATTAGTTTGACTTTACGGGAATCTGGAAGTGTCAAATTTCCACATGGCACCACATGGTTTATTATTCTTAAGGGACTGCTAATTGTTACTGGCTAAAGACCAGTGGTGCAGTGATATTTTTAGGGCAAGGCTGGAAAATTGTTTCAGACATGGGAAACAGTGTAGTGCGGTCGTCTCCGAGCATAACATTATAACGTACCTTTCCGTGAACTGGGAGTAAGTATAGCTTTTCAACTGCAGATGTACCGGTTTCAAATATGAGAACTGGATGGTAGTAGAGATTTTGTCATACCTGGAGGCGCAGGTAGCCAGTTAGTTTTCGTAGTTACAATGACAGCCAGAACTGTAAACGGGTTTTGCCAAACATTTTGGCAGCAGCCTTATTGACTACATGATGGCGAATGCAGAACGGCAGTGAACTATGCATATCTCAGCATACACTTCACATTCCTAGTGACATCAAATGGCTTTACAAAAGATATTCCTTTTTCAAGTTTATCTTCTTTTATGCACTAACATATCTTGATAGCCTATCAATTTGTGATACCTGTCTGCTCACAATGGTTATTATTTTGAAATTAACCAGTTTTCATTCTAACGCTTGCTATCCGGATCTGAGTTTTAGGCTTGCATCTGCCTTGCTTTACTGCACAACAAGGAGAAAGGAAGCTACTCACACAAAAGTTTGCAAAATTCTCTTGGACATATATAAATCACTTTCATCCATTCATCCAAAACACTCCGTAGTAAAAGTGTTACGTGTTTGTGTGTATTACAAAATAATTAGTAAGCGCATTCTTCCCGTGGTAAAAAATCTCATATTCAACTCCGTCATTTAGCAACGTTTCACCTTCTTGATAATTGCTCCGCATCGTGGACAAGTGTGCGTTGCATCCTTGCAACTGTCACAGCAGAACGGTATGAGGCAACAGCCCAAAAATCCGCTGAAAATTAACCAAACAAGATTGTCACGATTTAGCCGTACAGAATAGCGTTGAAATCGGCAACCGAAACATCAATCTTTTCGTATTACTCTAAGAGTGTCAAGGCCAGAGAAAGGATTCGCCATCTGCGCAAATGGTTTGTTGAAGACATTGCCGGTTTCAACCGGGGCTGGTTGATGAAGCCAGGTGCCACGCTATGTAGTACATAGCATATTGATGTGTCCAGTGCAATGATGCTTTTAAGCACCAACATTAATGGGTACGAAATTCTCGGTTTTCCATTAAGAATTCGAGACTGTTTATGTAACCTGACGCGCAACAGTAAAAGCTGATCAGGGTGTGATGAGAAATATGGAAAATCACTCAATAAAGCACCAAACGGATGGACACAAAGTGAGCAAGTCGATAGTCTTGACGTCAAGGTTGAGTTGTGATCTGCACCCAAAAAACAACTACCGCGAACAGCCTATGGGGTGGAGAAATGTGGCGTTAAAACCACCGTCACTAAATGATTGCAACAGAATGTAGATCCGCATTTTGCTCGCACCTGTAACCATAACAAATATCAACTGGGCGTTTTTAAGCCTCATCTGCCGGTTCGATTCACGGACCTACATTGAGAGTATGCCGTAGATATCTGAGACAGATGACAAGTGCAAACCACCTTTGCCTTACACACAACAAAAATAGCCCATTGTATCTGTTGTAGTGTACCGGAAAACATGCGCTTTCAGGATTTTGCAACATTGGATTTCACTGTTGTTTTAACCTTCCAAACGTGCACTTGTTTTACTGACTTCACATCCGTAGACACAAAGCTTTTAGCTGAGTACCTTGCTGCACCGTTTCTCGTTCTGGCTGATTCGCTTCCTATTTTTGTAGCCTGCACAATATACGATGGATGGTATCGCCCCCAACTTCTATGCTGTCCAGTATTTGACACGTCTCTTACGTGTTATTCCTTACCGACTAGTATCCCAGACTCCACCCAACGCTATCTTAGCCCATATGTATAACTGCTAAACTGACATAAGCTACAAATCTATGTTTTTCGTTACCAATTTTTAATACGCCACAATGTATGGCAAATGTTTAGCTTGAACTATCTGCCATATCCTATAAATATGATTTCCACTTTCACGTTCATCTTAGCAACACAAAACTGCTCCCATTCCTTTTACCTAAAAATGAATACTTGGTTCCGTCCGTCCACTGAGCTTTCCTTCGGGGTACCATAAGTTATACAATGTCGTTTTACGAAGGTAAAGTGGACAGAAAGGGAGGTTAAAAGACGCTTTTTATTTCTGCCTAATATTTAAATATGCTTTATTATTATACGGTACAATTGTAAACATTCAATCTTTCAGCAATGGTCATGCCTGTAGACCCATGAACACATTATTATTCTTATTCCCATTCAGCCAAGCTACATGCCATCGGGATTTGTTAATTGCAATACAGCCTACTTATTCAGCTATTGTAACCTTTTTATGGATAAACATGAACCACTCCAAAGGCACCTACTTAACTTAACCCAAAACTGCATTTATTTTATTTGACAGGTACTTGTGTTTGGTAAAGTTGCGCTTGAAAATTATCGGATATGCAGTACTACACAATATCTTGAACCATGTTATAACTAATTTGTATAATGCTTACGACAGATGTACCAACCTGGCGCATCATTAGCCTACTTAAATTCAAGGGCAATTAGCCCATGCCTCTTTGTTTTGTAGCAAATTTTCTCAGATCAACTACCATCGTTGTGCACCGTGCACAAAGTATGGTTAAGTTTACTGGCTGAATAGGATTTAAGTAAGGAGAGACATGTATTGAAGCACACTGGTTACTTGTTCCGTATTCGGATGCTAAGCGAATAGTTTTCTCGATTTATTGAAATAAATTAGAGTGTCATTTTCAAAGCTCTGATTAACACCTCTTCAATTACCTGTAGTGCATCATATCGTTTTCTATAGTTCAGGCAGGGTGCAGCATTGAGAAGCAAGCTTTGCACTCAGTATGGTTTCTGTTTGGACTGGCTAATTATGGTCGGGGAAAGAAACGTTAGTTCATTCAAGGGTGAACAAGTTCACAAATCGTTCGACTGTCATTATGAAACAAGAGGCAGTTTATGAAGCACGAAGACTTCGTAAAAGTATTTGGCAATGACTACTGGAAAAGTGAAGTAATCAGACAGTCAGAGGATCGGTACACACACAAGCACTTTGATTAATATATAATTTCTGATCAATAATTCACGAGAGTAACTATTTCCATGGGAAGTAGGGCAGCTGGTAAGGGATCGGCTAGCACTGGTATCAACAGTGCAAGCGTACATCCGCAACACGACGAACATGGGCAGGTGCTTACTTCACGGAGCACATATCGAATGTGACCAATAAGTGTTGGCCAGCAGAACAGCGACGAAAGAAATGTGCGACCAATCACAAACCGTATCATAAACCAATCATCGCAACTGACTGTGCCATATAACCAGTAGGTCGTTCGTATGTTGATTTAGAGCGAAGTAGGCAGTTACCATTTAGGCCACAGTACTGCGACCGTTACTTGATGAGCGTAACAGCGTACAGAGCCGGTCGTGGAGCGCCTTATTGCAAGTGCACATCGCTAACATGAACACAGCTGCCGGTTCCGATCATCTGAGTAAACTGGCATACATATAATGAACAACTTGTTGTAAGCGAAAAACGAAATAGCTGAGTACAGTTGAGAAGCCGCCAGGGAGTGTTCGTTCCAATGTTCGCTATCTCTACCACGTGTGCTGTTACTCACCAATTACGTTAAGTCACTATAATACTAATACTTATAATAACAATTACAATAATAATAATGTGGCAGCCGCACACCGTAACGGCGCTTCGCTGCAGTGTGACCACCATCAGTCGCACGCATGCTGAGTATACCGTGAGGACGCCCACTCCTAGGCAGACTCGAGCCCTCATCGCAAGATTACGAGACAAGCTGGTTACCTCTAGGCTGCGGGCGAACAAGTCACTATTCATGAAATTGACGAAAATGACGCCTAAGTGGAACTTAACCTAATAAGGCGTATTCTCAGAAAATGGTTCTCGTAAATCAGATGAGCAGTTCGAACTCATCGAACGCCACATTCACGGATATAGGTCAACGAGAACGCATTTACTTATGTTATTTATGTTCCTAAAGCCCCTGTGTGGTATGGGGATGTTGGACAAACGCACTGCAGCAGCGCGACTTGCAAGATGAGTCTTTTATGCTAAGGACCTATGCTGCACTATTGAAACAAAGTAACGTGTGTACATGAAACACTTAGCAATGAATCTCTGACGGAAGTGTTCCGGCGTAACGTATATAATTAACCAGAACAAGATACTGAAAAATGTTGCTCCCCATGGGTTCGTCAATACCTAGCTCCTGAATGAATTCACTGAATGCCCCAGCAGTTCACTTTCTGCGCGGTTGCATTGAACAAACCAACGGCGGACCGAATTTGTCAAACTCATAGGGAAATCAATTGGTTAAAGCCCTCTATACAACTTACCATAACATGGAAATGACTACGCAGAGGCTCCAGGTCAATGCACCATTGTGGAATTCAACTTTAGTCATGCACTGCTGCTGACAGACTGGGCACATGGCATCCGACGGTCGGAAGGACGACGGCGCTGGAAAGTGCTGCGGCTGAGTCGTCACTGGTTGGTCGTTGTCTGTCCAGAATAGTAATATGGCAATGAAACAGCGTTAAGTAAAAATTGGTAGAAATTAGAAATCGGTGAACACTTATGTCGCCTAGCTTGCATTGCAGAGCACCATAGGTACGTAGTTGTTGCGGTAGTAAATATAGGTTGTGCTACCTGATATGCTGATGTTTACAAAGGAGGAATGGCGGCCGCACTTATTTAGATGTGTAGATCACCAGAGCACAAACGTTTATGGGAGCTTGTCAAAATACACAGTCGTGCTGATGGAGGTGAAACTTAAGTAAGAAATCCACCGCGCAAGCAGACAAATTACCTCGCAGGACACCGTTTTCTACTAGCAAGCACATGGGTTGTGCAAACCTTTGTATCCATTTACGGAATATTAATGCCCGTAAAATTCAAATAACATTGTTTATATTCCATTACCAAACTTCATTAGGAAGTAGTAGGTACAGTATTTCAACTCGGGTTTCTGATTAAAGAGACTGAAGTGAATAGACGCTAGAGAACCAATGGTGTCAAAGGAATATAAGACACCATTTTAGTAGAGGTTAAGTAGATCAACGCACCTTTCATAACGTGGGAAATGGCTGGAGGTTTAGGAAGCCATGCCTAATAATTACGGTGAATGAGAAATTACACAATGTCTAAAGTTACGGGATGTTTCCATGGTGAATACAGCTGTGTGGGATGGAACGTTGTCATAGTAGATGTGGATGGCTTTCATCAACATTCTTGAACTATTTAAAATTCTGCATCTGCAACACCGCTGTACGTCAGTATAGTATGTTCTGAGGACGCTCTGAAGTTTTACAGGAAATCCATCATCACCAAAATTCGCATCCCATAAACCGACACTGTTGCCTTCCACTCTAACGACGGGACCTTGTCTTCTTTCGGGCTTTAGCCGCCGTCCAGTTCCATTGTTTGGATTGCTAATTTGTTTCGAGTACATGTGCAAAGATGATTCGACCAAGGAAATCATTCGCATAAGAATCAAACGAACGTTAGTTGTTCGCTGACACGTCGTACAATGTGCGCTTCGGCACAACAGATAAACTGCATGATTTAGACTGCATAGGGATTTTCTCCGTTAGACACCAAAGGTTTTATTCATCCCATAATAATTTTGGTTTACTTCCTCCGCACATCACTAAACCCAAATTATGCAGTAGGTCAAGAATGGTTCTTTGATAATTCATCTCCGCCTAGCAGAACCAAGCGAAATCCGAATGCGGATTACAACTCGCTTGCTCAAAGAAATGTTTCTCCGTGATATTACCTGCGACCCTTAGAAAACAAATGCTCGTTACACCTACGGTGCGACATGAATCGTTTTTACCAGACCATTGACGTAATTCGTGAAGTACACAGCTGTTTCAGCATGGGGTTTTCTATAGTTCACCGCACCCTTGGTGGATCCTTTTTCAGCTAACTGACTAAATTCCAACACGGATCTAGCAGCCTCTCTCTACAACAATTCAAACTCTTACGGCTACCATGCTATTAACCGAATGATAGAGCACCCGGTTAGAGAAAGAGAAGGCAAGCGAGCTCGGTTTGTTAACGATTGACAAGGTGAGCCATCGTTGGGGTAGTTCCAATCTGAGACAAATATCAATTGCAGATGCAAAACGTACGTCTTTTATGCTACTTGAGTTCATGGCGCTCGAACCATCAGTCAAAGACATCAAGAAGTGCTTTTTAATGCTAAACATGAAACTGAAACTTATCATTCTGTCGGAATATACGCAAGTCGAATGCCATAGTCTACAAAGGTGACCCTCCACCAGGCTTTGATATGCCTTTATTTTCTAGGTTCAACTCAAATGCAAACGCGGAGCGTCATTATTGCTCAGTCGACAAGCCCATGTCCGAATAAGCGGTCCAACCCAGTTCCCCGGCTTACACAAGGAGCCCCCGATCTTTCCTCAGATCTGCATACATCATTGTGCGCCCATTGTTACAAATCGGTCAACAGGCAGCACTAGCCCGAACACTGGAAATCCTCTCGATCGATGTCTGCTGCCCATCGGAAACCCGCCTAAAATACCCAAGCTCTATTCTCACCATGCGATACCCGTAAGAGGATACTAGCCCTGCTTTCCCATTGCGCCTACCCGGAGAAGATGCAGCTTCACGTACTGGCCAAACCGTTTTTGGTATTGCTCTGAGTCCCCGGACTGAGGTTGCTCTGGTTGATTGGATCCAAACCAGTGGCCGGATGTGTGCAGTCCGACTGGCTGGATCGGTCAAAGCTTCCAAGTCGCTCGAAAGTAATAGAGGTCTGTTTGTCATCGGTTCCTAAGCAACAATATGCTGTACTGATGACTCAGTAAAATACGACTTCTTGCGTTAACTAAACGAGCTCCTTCGCCATGGATGAAGCACAGACATTGTAGTACAGGCTGAGGATCTGAAGGCTCCATTTGGGAAATCGTCCACAGCTGAACTGCATCTGGGCGGCCAACCTGTTCAAGGCTGTCTTATTGATAACGTTAAGCAGTTGCTACATTTATGTGACCATGCCGGCTTATTGCTTGCATGCACTACTTTCTGACACAGCGCCTGTCGGAAGGTGACATGGCGCCCGCAAGCGTCGGACCAGACGTGGACGAAAAGCGACCACATCGGGATCTGTTATCGCTGGCGAGGTTGCGTCCAAAACCCTCCTTCGATATGGAGCACGTATGTGATGAGCTGCAGATGCCTTTTGATGGTCGATCTTGACGACCCTGTGAGCGCATAAACAAAGCAAACTGGGGAAGCCAGGCGTTCTGAATGCGTATCGAACTACGCAGGCTTTCGGGTTGAGAAAGCTCTCACTGAATACAGTTGTAGTTTACCGGTCGTATGTTCATTGGACCTAACTATAAGCAAGTAAATCATCATGTGGTAACATTGGTAGCTAAAATAGGCATGGGATCTTTTCACAGCCTCTGGAACTTGTCAACGCTCGCCGGCACCTTCAGGCTGAAAAGAAGCACAACGAGACTCGCAATAATCTTAGAGTGAAACGCTGTGCTAGCCGAAAGGGATACCTGAGTCATGGTGGTCTCGTCTTGCGTCAGAGATGGAAGTGGCCGCTGACCTGGGTAACCATCGGAAGTGCTTCTGTCTGCTATGGGAAACAGGTAGCAGGAGACCTAGTGTTATTGTGACTATACGTGCCGAGAGTGGACAGCCTATGCACAACTTGTCAAAAGGTTTAGAGTGTTGAGCTGAGCATTTTTAAAAACAATTTAATCGACCTAAATTGTTAGCTTCCTCACTGGCCAGGGATCGCACGGTTCCGCGGGCTGTCCCATTGGATCTGCCCTCTCGCTGGGAAGTCGAACGTGAAATCGGACTGCGGAAGTTAAACAAAACTGCGGGATTAGATGGTCTTCATCCAGCCCCTTTTATATTCAGGTTCCCTGCTCTTGTAGATCATTAACAAGAATTACTAATGAAACAGTGGTAGCAGAAAACTGTCTCAATCTACTGGAGCCGATCCGTTATTGTCCGGCGCATCAAAGGTTGCCCGCGTTCGGGATGCCACAACCATGGAGGAATCAGTCTGATCACCTTGGCTCTAAATTGCTTACCACTTCCATCCTTCACACAATAACTGGCGCTCGTGAAACGCAGGTTGTTGAGAAGCAAGCCGGGTTTCGTCGTGGTCAGGGATGCATGGACAACGTATCCACATTACCTCAGTTGTTGGAGCAACGTCGCATATATTGGCGGCCCACCTTTTTCGTGTCCCTCGACACCAAAGGTGCCTTCGATTCGGTGGATCTACTTGACATTTGGTACTGCCTTCTAAGGAAAAGTGTGCCCGGGCAATCTGTAAATAGTATGCATGCGTTATACGCGAGTAGATCTGGCAGAGTAAGGGTTTACGGAAAGCTATCGGCCAAATTCAATATCTCCAGTAGTGTATGACAATGCTACCCGCTGTCACCACTTTGCTCCAAATTCTCTATTGCGGAATTCATGGATATCGCTTTCATAGGACACGAATTAGTTGTGAAGTTGATCCCATGTAGGCTATTGCTGTACATGGAATATACTGACAATATTGCCATTATTTATGACAGCTCCCAAACATACAATGCTGCCCTGGACGGATTACTATTGGCCGTCACCCGTTTCGGGTTATGCTTTGCTCCCATAACCTGCAAACGTTTCCTTAAAGACTGGCAGGGACCGCCTTTTGCACTGACCCTTGGTAGGGATCAGCTGGATGTTTAAAAGTTCAATTACCTAGATATTTTCAACGCCGTTCTGGACGCCGTTGAAATAGCTGACCAGGTCGCAAACCGTATAGCAAAAGCACGACGCGCTTTTGCTAACCTTCTCAACCTATGGCGCCGGTGCGATAACAACCGCTGTCTGAAGGGTAGCGTGCACAAGGCAGCCGAACGTTCCACCCTATTGTACGGTTGTGAAACCTGGTCCAGTACCGAAGCCGACGTAAAGAAACTAGTTACTTTCTACCACCGGTGCCTTCGCAGTTTGGCTCAAATCTAGGAGGAACACCAGAAGAACAGTGAGCGCGTTCGACGCCTTGTTTAAGGCGGGGGAAGAAGAAGCAAACCTCTCAGCATCGTTACTTCACGCAACAATCTCCGATGGCCGGACCATGTGTTGCGCATGCCAGCACACCTACTCACGCGACTTGTGTAGCTTTGCGCCCCGAGTGTGCGGACTGATAAAGTGGTGGCGTGGCTGAGCAATGATTTGGTCAAGAGGAATAAAGGCCCTTACCTAGATGTTTGCTTGGTTGGAGCCTTTTGGCTCCCTGGGGACCATAGTTTTATGAACACCTTTGGCTGGATACAATTGTTGACCTGGTTAATAGCCGACCTCAATGGCGTTTGTGTTGTGGGTTTCTTTGTCCCTTCCCCACCAACCACCATCGCAAATATTAGACATAATATGACATTCTGCGGGACGATAGCCTGCTGGTAGCTCTCAGGAATGGTGTCCATCCAATACTGGTAACTCAGCCGGAATGTCTC